AGAGTATGGTTTGACTCATCTGCAAATTTGCACATTAAAGTTTTGACCTGACTGCTTTTGCTCTTCATTTCATGAGAAACTGTGATTTGTATAAACTTACTTCCTTCAGGTCTTGGTGTAATACTCTTCTCTTCTGTGTAGTTCTCTTGCAGTAACTATCATTCTTTTAACAAAGTTATTCCCAGATACCATACTGAGGAAAAAATGAGGCATGACAAGTGCTGAGGACAAAAGGAAAAAACTGACTGTTGTCTGTCCAAGTTATTTTTATAACACATTCCCCCTGAAGGTCTTGGAGTATAAGATTATGAATGTAACTTTTTTTGTTGTTTTTTAAGAGGATTGTGGCTGATAAACAAGAAAAACGAAATCAGGAACGTCTGAAACGGAGAGAGGAGAGGGAAAGAGAGGAAAGAGAGAAGCTGAGGAGGTAGAAATCTGCTTTATTTTTGCCTGAATAATTTAATAGCCATTTTAGAAACTTGTTAAGCCTAAATTCTGTGTCAGTACACTTTCTCAGTATATAATCTTTACTTGAATCCAAGATGAGTTAGTTTTTTCTTCCCCTTTCTTTTGATGGTGCGGGTTGGCAGTCATTTTGGATTACAGTACAAAGCAGCAGGGATCAGGCAGCTGCTTTGGCCATGACCCTGCATCATCCCTAACCCCATTATCTCTGCCCTGTGCTGCTTATTCCTCTCTCTTCCCCTACACCCCCCCAGCTGCTGCTGATGCTTGCGCTCAGTTGGAGCCCTGTCCCAACAGCAGCAGCACTGGCGGTGGCAGCACTGGCCACAGCTCTAGCTCCAGCCCCAGGGCTGGAGCTGCCTCTACTGCAACTGTTGCTGGCTCTGGCCCCCACCTAACTCACAGCATGTGCTCCAGGCCCCAAGTGGAGCAGGGCTGGAACCTGGGACATATTTTGAACAAGCAGGGAGGGGAGAGCAGATGCTAGAAGGCGTAAGCACTGGGAAGGACACAGACAGGCACCAAAGGGTGGGGGTAGGCATTGGGGGGAGGGGAGGGGAGGGGAAGGCAAGGCTGGGAAAGAATGGCCAGGCTGTCTGTCTGCCTGCCACTGCTTTCTCTGCTGTAGTGGTGGTGGGGACAAATATAAGACAACCCTCCAAATTATAAGTTTTCTATGTATAGCACAGGGGTCAGCAATTCCCAGCACGTGTGCCATTAGTGACACGCAGAGACACTTTCCCCAGCACACCAAGAGGTGGGTGAGGAAATTGTTTTAATTTTTTTTCAAGTTGCTGCACTGTGCTCTCCAGCACCACAGAAGGCACCAGGGGTAAAATCAGAAGAACACAGGCAGGGAAGCTGTCTCTGTTCTGCTGACCCCATCCCCTGCCCCTGGGCTGCATCCCCCAGCTCAGCCAGGCCCCTAGATGAGCAGGCTGGCCCAACTGGGCCTTAGGAAGGCAGGGGCCAGGCAAGAAGCAAGGGCTGCTTCCAGTCTGGGGCCATAGTGGACTGGCAGGGTGCTGAGTGGCACCCAAGGTGGGGTCTGTCCCAGCCTGCACAGCTGTTTGGGGGGGGGGACTGCCTGGCCAGGGCAGGATGCTGGGCTTGGTGGGGACACTGCCTGGCCAGGGCAGGACGCTGGGCTTGGTGGGGCTCGAGGCTTGGCCTCCCTGCATGTCGGGCACAGCGCAAGCAGGGTGGAGCTGCCCCCAGTGCAAGGGCCTGGTTGCAGGAGCTCCTGGGAGCAGCTGCCATGGCTGACCCAGCCTGCCCGGGCCCTGGGTTTGCCCACCTGCAGCTCCCCATAAGGGGCCAGGGCCGGGGCAAGCATTGCATATCTGTTCCCAGAGCCCCAGGGGCTCCTGCCACGGCCTGGGGAACTCTGCCCCACTTGTGCTGTGCCCAGCATGCACGGGTCAAGCTGGGAGTCCCCAAGCCCAGCATCCTGCCCTGGCCAGGCAGCATCCTGTCGCGGGCATGGCAACTGCACTCCATCTCCAAGGAGCTGTGCGGGCCAAGCTAGGCCAGGCCTCCGCCTTGGGTGCCACTGGGTGCCTCCACTGTGGCCTGAGTCTGCAGAGCTCTGGGGCAGTCCCCACGCCTCTCCTGGCCCCCTCTTTCCTCTGGCTGCCACCTTCCTAAGGGCCTGGCCAGGCCAGCCTACCGGGGTGCCTCCCCCCTGCACCTCTCTCTCTTTCCCTCTCCTTCTGCCTCTCCCTCCTTCCTTCTCTCTTTGCTCTCTCTTCCCCTCCTATGAAGTTCTGTTTGTCACCACATTTAGAATTTTTAGAAAACTTGGTATTTACCATAAAAAATTTGCAAAATTTCTATAAAAAGAAAGGCTTATGATGATTAACTGTATTAATATTCAGTACATCCTGCCATATACCGCCCACCCCAGTTTTGTTTTTCTCGTGTGCTGGTACTCTGGCACCTTACAAGGTAGACATTGTGGGTTTTTCAGCTCTCGGGCCAAAAAACATTGCCTACCCCTGGTACGTCATCTGGATGGGGTGGTGGGGAGTCATCTTAAATTCAAAGTTGCCTTGGATTTGGGGTAAAGAGAGTTTTGACCAACACTTTAACTGGAAATTTCCTTGTTTGTGACATGCAAGCTGCTCTAATTTTCCAATTTGCTTTTTAGGTCCAGATCCCATAGCAAGCAAGCTAAAAGGTACGTAATCTGCAGGAATCTGCATCGCTAGTGAAGCCAAGCTGCTAGATCCTTTTATAAATCTCATTATGAAGCATGATTAGACTACTTTGTCTTCCTTTAGGGACAGAGAATCTTACTGCATAGCCATCCTTCACCGCTTTTATGCTCCTCACCAACATACTGCACTACTTACACAACACATGGCTGCGGTGATGTGTTTGGGGGTTTTTTTGTCTTCTGGTGGTGGTTGGAACACATGCAAAAGGTTAAATCAGCCACTACCTCATGGTCTAAGTTCTTTAGCCTAAGCAGCTCACGCATTCAGATTCAGAAGTCCCAAGTACCTTGTTTACCCATGAGGAATGCTACAGTTGACTGTGCAGTAGTATGTATATATAAATGAGATCAGAGAGTTGAAAGCATGCAATATACTCTCATTGTAGTAGTCAGTTTAAAATCTCTTATTTTAAAACTTCAGTAGTAAGTACATCAGATTAATGCATTGCATTTTCTAGTTAAGCAAATGCAAGTATACAACAGCTGCCAGAAGCTAAGTATCTATTCATAACCGCCACCAACATGCTGTAATGGTATCTGTCCATTGAACTGGCAACTTGGTCAAATGGGCAATTTTGAATTTTTTTTTTTTTTTTTTAGGGGAGTTGTGGGGGAGAAGTGCCAAAACTCTAACCATGCCCCCCACTTAGGCATGTGTGCTTAATCACAAAGGAAACAGATTTCTTAAATGGTTCTCGCTCTTCTTTGGGTTGATCTACAATAAAAAATATGTTGTAACTGCAAATTAGAGAGTGGTCTCTGGACAGGCAGGCTACTATGTATAGAACACAAAATAATTATTTTGGTAAAGCATTAGGGTGACTGTCATTCAGTGTAAATCCTTCATACTGTTTACAGATCTAGGTCTCGAGATCGCCGCAGACATCGGTCTCGTTCTCCTTCCTGGGAACGGAAAAGGAGAACTCGTTCCAAGTCCAGGGAGAAACGCCACCGTCACAGATCTCGCTCTAACAGCCGCAGCAGGAGCCACAGCCACCATAGAAGCAGGCATAGTTCCAGGGACAGGAGCCGAGAGCGCAGCTCCAAAAAACGGTAAGTGTTGTCCCAGAGAGGGACTACTAGTTTTCCCTGCTTAGAGATACAGATTAGAAAATGGTTGTAGCAATTTTCCAAAAAATAAAAATGGTTTCCAAGCCCATTTATCGATTAATAAACATTTTGAAGCTTTTCCAATTTGTTTTAGCATGTGTACAAAGTTGTGATAATAGCAATAAGATTTCTTTTTTTATCTGGTTTATGGCAGTGAAGACTGCTGTGACGTGACAGTGGGACATAGCCATGTCAAATGTATAAACTGTATGTTGTAGCAGGAGTTGAAATAAAATGAGATGATCTTAAAGGTAACTTATTGTTGCTGCATTTCAGAGAACTGTTTTGCTGGGGGAAGTTGTTTTAATACCTCATTGAAGGGAACACTGGCAGTGAATGACTATATTACTGGCCCATCCCTCAGGAATACTCTTTTTTTTCTAGATGTGCCACAAGCATAACTGCAAAAGAGGCCCAGAGCTTCCTAACTGAGCACATAGCAGAGAGACAGGGTTAGTTGTTGTACATAAAAAGCACTTACAGAAGTGAGGATAGGGTGCCCAGTCTGAAATCATTACAGAGTTTGGCCTCACAAGAAAGATGTCTTCATAAGCCTGGTTTCAATGAATCTCAGGTGTTGTAACTAGAAAGCACACAAAGTAAATGTGGTTGAGAAATTATTTTACTAGGTCTGTGTTTTGCATTGACTTTATCAGTTTAAATCCTACTCTAAGTGCATATGCACCCCCCCCCTACAGGATTGACTTATTTATACAGCAGTGTCTCTTAGTTTTCTTCTGCTCCTATATGGCTGTGTCCAGACAAGCACAGATATTTAGTACCCTGGGGACAAGTAGCAGCAGCTTACCCTGTCCCTGGGGGAACACCTGTGTCATGCATGCAGCAGGTTACCCTGGATGGGGTAGGGGAAGCTGGGGCCAGCAGCCTTACCTGGGGTCCTGGAGACCAGGGAAGCTGCAGCAATGGCATTCCTGCAACTGGGAGCCTGGCTGACAGCTGGAGCATGGCTCCAGTGGGCCAAGCTCCAGTTTTGGGTGGCACACGCTGCCACCACATGTGCCACCCTGCTTTGTTTCCTCACAGGTTTTTTCGACCCCAGGATCTCCCATTTATAGTTCCTTTCTTAATAATCCTTAACATTTTATTTGCCTTTTTGGTAGCTGCTGAGCACTGAGCTGATGTCTTTAGCAAATTGTCCACAACGATTTCCAGATCTCTCCTCTGTAATAATAAATAATGTAGGTATAGTTTGGGTTATTTTTGCCCAGGTTCATCACTTTACACTTTTCTGAATTGAATTGCACCTGCAGTTTGTTTGCCTGTTCACTTAATTGTACCAATCCATCTAGAGTTCCTCACCTTGGTCTTTACCACTTGGAATAATTTTATCATTGGCTGATTAGGCCATCTTTCTACTCACCCCCTTTAACATACAGGTTTCCCTTGCTTTATGCTGTACCTGCGTTCTTGGAAAACAGTGCATAACTCATTGGATAAAGAGTACCCACTTTGTAACACATAGGGATACATCCAAGACCACAACTGTACTGATCCCCAGACACATTTCTACTACTTTTACAAGACAATTTTGGTACTCGCCAACAGCAGACAGTACACACAAGCACAAGGCACTATCATAGTGGGAACAGCAACTACAGAAACGTGTCGCAGACAAGAAGCAAGGAATACAGATCCCTTGGAAACACTATGTATCTGGGTCCATGAAGGCAGTTTTCTTTAAGCATTCCTGGGGATAACTGTTCTTCTGGTGTGGTTTAGTACCCACTATGGAAATGGGAGACTCCTCCCTAGCTTCCTCTTGCAGCCATATGGCTGAGGGCAGGCAAAACTCAGGGGCATCCGAACCCCAAGCCTCCGGGCTTGGGCCTGCATGTAGGATGCCTACCAAAAGACTTTGGAAATATCTGAAGCTCCCGGTGGGGTTGAGGATGTTTGCTGGTTGTAGGGCCACTTGCGGTTCTGGACTGACTCACAGATTTGTACTTGATTTGGCCTGGAACACAAAAAAATCTCCTTTAAAAAAAAAAAAATGAAAGAAAATCCACACAGGAGACTATATTTTGGTGCATGTCACTCCCACAATGCACCACACAAAGCAGCTTACTGCATGCTTCCACCACACCGATCGCCTAAGAGTGAATTTACCTTGCATATAACAAATTTTTGGTATAAAAGCAGTCATTGCATAAGAGCAAATTCACACATACGAAACCCACGTAAAGCGAGGGAAACCTGTATTCATAAATGATCTGGAAAACAGCACTGAACCCAACACAGAATCTAACTTAGTTAAGAGTCTCTGATGCACCTTGTCAGATGCTTTTTGAAAGTCCAGATATACTGTGTTGACTGAATCACCTAAATCCACCTGCTTATTGATGCCCTCAGAAAACTCTGATAGTTTGGTGAGGCACAATTTTCCTTTGATAAAACTGTGTTGACTCCTCCCCAGCAAGTCATGTTCATCTATGTACTTAACCATTTTTATTTTTGTTGTTGTTTTCGAGGAACAGAAGTTAAGCTCGTTGGCCAGTAGGGCTGTGCAAAATTTCACTGGGTGTCTTGTTTTGAAGCTGTTTCAATGCGTTTCGAGCTCCAAACACCAAAATCGAAATGAAACAAAAGCCTTTGAAACAGCTTCAGAATGAAACAAGGGCTGTTTTGAAGACTTTTTGGCTCACCTCAGTCCCCGGGAGGATTCTGGCACAGCCCCCAGCCATCCTGGGGTTGTGGGCCCCTGGATCTGTGCCAGATGACAGCATGCTGTCACTGCTGGCTGGGGCCAGTGGCAGCACCAGTCTTCCTGGCGCTCGGCACAGGCTGCACCCAGCACCAGTCCCAGCTGGCAGCAGAAGCCTCCTGTCATTCTGCAGGCAGATTGGGGGCCTGCCCCTCTGGGAGGGCTACGGGGCTGTGCCAGACTCTTCCCAGAGGTGTGGACCTCTGATCTGCCTGCTGGATGACAGGATGCTGGTTCTGCCACCTGGGGCCACCGGCAGCACCAATCTTTCCAGCGCTGGGTGCGGGCTGATCCTAGCTCCGGTCCCAGGTGGCAGCAGCAGCCTCCTTTTGTTCCATTTCCGAAACGAAATGCAACAGTGCTTTTGAAACAAAATGAAACGCTGTTCTGTTGAAACTGAAACAGAAGTTGAAGCAGAACAGTGCTGTTTCACACAGTGCTACTAGCCAGTAGTTCCCTGCTTCCCCTGTAGACCCTTTTTTAAAATATGGATGTCACATTGGCAACCTTTCAGTCCTCTGGTATCAAAGCTGTTTTTAGTGATAACTTGCATACTGGTTAGGAGTTCAGCAATTTCTGACCTTCAGGACCTGAAGGTGAATGCCATTAGGTCCTGGTGATTTGCTGCTGTTTAGTTTCTCAATTTCCACTACAACCTCACTTATTAAAACCTCAGTTTGGGTCAGCTTCACTGACTTATCCCTAGAGAGGAGTGGATCTCGTGACAATTTCCCTAACATCTTCCACAGTGAAGACTGATGCAGAGAATGCATTTAATTTCTCAGCAATGGTCCTGTCATCCTTTAGTGCCCCTTTTTACATTCTGATCATCCAGAAGTCCAGCTGGCTCCCTTGCAGGTCTTTGACTTCTAAGGTACTTAAAAGCAGACTTCAGTGTTCTAAACTTAATATTTTAGACTGTAACCTACCCATCTGGATTGAATTCTGTTAACCCAGCTGCCCTGTAGAGCCGTTTACAGGAATTTTCAAATTCAGAATTTTAGGCTTTAAGCTTTGTTTGGAATGATTCCCTTTACAGACAGACACAGCAGGTGTCAGTTTCACTTGAATGACTCTCACCTCCCAAGTAAATGCTCAGTCTGCTTCTTTCTTCACTTGGACCTGCAAATTCAGAGGTGCAGAACCTGAAATTCCATGCCTTGTGACAGTTGATGAGAGTGATGTCCACTCCAGAAGACAGCTATGTTCCAAGACCCTTGCCAAGGCGGCATCATTCAGTGCAACACAGAGAAGAAAACTGATGCGCAGAACTTTGGCAGAGAAACTTATACTAAGCAAGCAGCTGAAACTGACATTGTCGCCAATGCTGGTGCTGCCCAAGTGTGTTGGCATCACTTACATTGCAAATAAAAATTTCAGACCTGGTGCAGGTGGTGCTGTCCATTGTCAGGTTCTCCCATGAAAGCAGCGGGCTGCTCCTCAGAAGAGAATTTAGGAGAGCTGGCTGGCTGGCTGATGGCAAAAATGGCTCACCAAGTTGCAGTGGAAGCAGTGAACAATACATCCAGATCCACGACCATTGTAAGAAGCATCCAGGGCTCAGGCATTCCCTGTTTATTTTTACTCAAGTTAACTCCACAGTGTTGATTCAGCCAGGGCTTGGTGAATTAGGCATGACACTGGTTGCAGTGAGGGGCCCCAAACTGAACACAGTACAGGGCCTCAGCAGTGCCTAACAGAGTAGGCAAACCATTTTCCTTGATTTGCAAGTGGCACTTTTATCAATACAGCCAAGTATGCTATTGGCCTCCTCTTTTTACAACAAGAATCATAGAATTGTAGAAATTAGGATTGGAAGGGCCCATAGGAGGTCAACTAGTCTAGCCCCTGCTCAAAGCAGAACCATCCCCAACTAGAACATCCCAGCCAAGGATGGAGAGTCCATAACCTCTCTGGGTAACCTGTTTTCAGTGTTTTTCTACCCTCCTAGTGAGAACTAGTAAAAGAGTTCCTCCTAATATCTAACCAAAACTTCCCCTGCTGTAGCTTGAGACCATTTCTCCTTGTTCTTAGTGGTGAAGGCAGCTATTAAATTCCCTCTGTCTTGCCTTCTCTAGATTAAATAAGCCCAGTTCCCTCAGCTTCTCAAGTCATGTGCTCCAGCCCCCTCACCGTTTTTGTTTCCAGTCTGCTGGACTCTCTCCAATTTGTCCACATCCTTTCTGTAGTGGGGTCTCCAAAACTGAACACAGTACTCCAG